GAAGAGCCTGTGCAGCATCATTCTGAGACAGGTGGGGCAGCAAGGTGCTGAGGCCAGAGGTGACACTGCTGACTCAAGAACTGGGCAGATGAGAAGACTCCTAGTGAAGAGTCTTGAGATACATGGGCAGAATAGGTTACACCTTAGAGATGTCATACAGTGAAGATCTGCAACAGCTAGAGGTGGTTATGAGAACCCAAGATTGTAAAAGACGGGGAGAAGCACAAGTTAATAATTAGGAAAGTAAGTGAAGAGTGAAATGGTCAGAAGATACTATTTAAAAGTAAGAAAATAGAAACCAGACGGTTCATTGGGAAGTTTGTTCTCTCAGCTAAGCAACACTGCTTCTGCACCATGTGGAGCCATTTCCTTTTCTTCCTGTCACACTGGTATTTCAAGTCATTGGTGTCAATAGCTCTGAGGTCTGGCCCACACAACATTGAGCAGCTTTTTCTTCTTGGGGATCAGATACATCAAACACAATCAGCAGCAGGTCACCACTGTTCTCTCTGGCCACACCATGGTCTTTTCTCCCTGGAGCCACTAGAGCTCCCCAAAACCCAGACTTCCATCATTTTGCACAGAGCTAAGGCACAGAAAGCACCCTTGAGGGCCAACCATGCAGAGGCCCTGGCCAAGCAGGTGGAGGAGGTCACCTGGCCTGGCCAAGGACTGACATTACCCTAGGACCTTGCCAAAGTAAGCCAAAGATAAAATGACCTGTCTGTCCCTGCATGGTCAAGCTTTCATGCATAATGGGAGACATAATACAATCCCAGTGCCAGTCACAGAAGAGCTTTGCAGGAGGACCAAGCTCATGCTGCAGAAGTTCCTGGGAAGAACTTCCTCAAGAGCAGAGAGGACAGCCGGACACCCAGGCAGCAAGGCCCAGAGACTCCTCCCTGTGCTCCAAGCCAAGCTGCTATTCCCCACACCATTAATGACCAGGAAAACCAGCCATAAGCATAACCATTAACTCCACATATATTAATAAATGACAATGACAGCAGCCACCATATTGCTGCTGCTGGGCACCCCTAACGTGAGCAAACACTATGAAATACCCTTCCTCGGTCCACACGCACTCCCTCCACAGCACTGCTTGCATGCCTGGCAGAGCAAGGGCTTGCCCCACTCATGCTCACCATCCACCTCTCCACACCAGATCCTTCCTCTCACCTTGCAATAAAGCCAACAACACTATTTGTCCCCTGTCACCCTGCAGCTCTGCCAAGATTGCCACTGTTTCAAAGATAATAAAAAAAGATTTCTTCTTTGCTGAGGCTTTCTACATTAGTTAACTAAGTCTGCCCATCCTGGTTTGGCAAATCCTAACAGTTACTTCACATAGCAAAGATAGGTTTGCATCATTTTTTCTTAAGCAATTAACAGTGAAACTGTTGCAGAACTGGGCTCCTCTGCTCAGCTCCCATGCATCCCCCATCCACACACCTCCTTCAGACACTGCCCAGCAACTCACTGCTCATCCAGAACTATTTCATCTACATTTCCTCCACTCATTTCTACATTTAATCTTTGACAGGGTTTAAACACCATTAAAACAGTCCAACACCAACATACAAGCTTGCAGGTCCTCACTGCCCACACCAGGGACTGGCTGTGCTATGAAACCTCAAAACTCCCAGCTCAGCCTGAAGCTGTAAGCCACTGCTTTCCATCAGTCCTCCTCCTCTTTGCAGCTTCTCCTCCTCCAGGCATGTATCTGAGACCCCCAAACCATGCTGAGCCCCCCACCCACATGGCACCCATTGCTCCTGCAGCCAGTGCAGCACCAAGATCTCACTGGCCTCCCTCACAGCTCTCCCTCGAAGCCCAGTTTGCTCCCCCAGCCCCACCAGGCAGCTCAAGCCTACCTGGGAGGTAACAAGCAGCTCCTGATCCACAGCTGCAGCACTGGTGAAGCGCCTGTATTCAACAGAGCCAAGCTGCCCATCCTTCATTTTACTCAGCTGTTTCTGCTAAGCACTGAGCTCTTCCACCACCCAGCCCCACGATCCATGCCTCTGCTTAGTCCTCTCCACCCTTTGTTCTTACTATTTCTTTAGAAATTGTTTTCCATTCTTTATTAGAGCAGTTTCTGCTCCAGCCTTATCTCTCTACCCTCATTCCTTGAAGCCAGGTCTAGCTGTAATTGCTACCTGCCATTGGGCATCCAGGGGAAGAAGCCAGTTGGTCCTAGTGGATGAAGTTGTCTTGATCTACACCCTACTCCCTCAGCCCAAGTCAGAAAGCTTCTGGGCCTGTCCTTTTGCTACTGACTCACTGTTTCTGCACCACAAAATCTGCGAAAAATTCAGAGGTGAGGCCATCTGCCTTTCAGAAGGCTTAATAGCAGCCAGAAAAAAAAAAAAAAAAAAGAAGAAAAATGCATATTTAACCTACACTGTAGCTGCCCAGTTTTAACCTATGCATTAGTTAAGCCAGGCTGTGCATCATTCTTTTGATTTCATTTCAGTCAAGTACCAGCCTCACCTCCTTGGAGAGCTCAAGCCTTTCCCTACTTCTGCCCTACTCTAGTAATGATACACCCCTTTAGTTAAGGGCACTTCTACACCCCAGGTTACTTGGACAATGCCCTCATCCTCACCCACAGGACTGTGCTTGTGCCTAAAATCCCTTAAGGATTTTACAGAAGCTTCAGCTTTTTTCTAATCCCTTTTCAATCTTAATTTTCCCATTCATACAACAGGAAAGCATTCTAACATCAGGACCACCTTTGTTAAGCAGCAAGAGAAAGGTTATTCAAAGAAAATTAAGGTCAACCACTTCCAAGGTGAGAAATACAGAACCTGACTGGAGGCCAAGAAGCACAAGCCTGTGCAACCTTCAAGCCCTTTCAGGCATGCGTTACTTGTTAGCCTTTAATTGTGTAAGCACATACTACTGACCTGGCAGGACACCTGCCTTACTAAGTATTTTGTTTTTCCCTACTTAACACATGATCCATACTGTGCACAAAATGCAGAACTACAGCCCTCCTCTTAAGTGTGCCTCTAGTACTCTTGTACTGAGCCCTTCACCAACATTAACTTACCTTCATATCCTTGTCATTAGCCCACAGTATGGTCCATTTTCTCCAAGTAAATAAATTACCAAGATTAAGATAAAAATTTTCAGAAACATCCACTAAAATCAGTATCTCGCTTGCTTATTGTTAAACCTGGCACATCCTGACCAGCTTTATGCTCTCTCAATGTAAAGCAAATAAACATAAAAAGATAAGAGACAAGAAATAAGAGAACCACACCAAACCTCCACACGAACCACCTAAGGTTTATACTCTTACAGTGCAGCTGCATCATTTGAGATCATCACATGCAGCAGATGTTGGCTGTAATCTTCTAACACAAGACTAGCCACTAAGAGACAGGGAGGAATACTTCACTGGCATCAGAAGACAAGAGTCACTTTCAGCTACATAATCTGGATGGAAACATACTGCAGACCTTTCTTTTCAAAATTATGAGAGCTTGTGCCTGCTCCTATTTGCTCCCATTTATTCTTGCCCCTGAAATTTATTTTCTCTCTTTTGCCATTGAGTTGTACCCAGTTTTACTTGCCTTCAGCCCACCTGCTGGGGTCTGCCATGCTGCAGCCGCAACCCCAGTGACCTGGTCAGCCAGGGAAAACTGGTCCCATAAAGTTAACTATTTGGGAGTTAAGTGACTGAGAACAGATCCTTGCAGTGGAAACATAAGATAACCATAACCACAGCCAGTATCACCTGTTCCACCTGCAACAATGTGTTCATTTTTCAGCAGTTTCATCAAACAAAACACTAAAAATTAAATTATACTAATTTATCATTAAGTGGAACATTAAGATATTTCCACACTGCACTTTCAGAATAACTAATTCATTAACCTCAAGTAAGAAAATGTTTTTATTCTGTGCAAAGATTATTTGTATATGCCACTTTGGAGGTAGACAATGAAAAAATCAGAGCAGAGAAAAATGCTCATGTGAGGACTTAGTAAAATATCTGTGTACTTTACATTCATACTTGAGCTTCTTTTTGAAACAGCTTTCCAATGCAGACAGAAGTATTTCTCAGCTTTTGGTAATGAAGCATTTACTGCAATTAAGTTAAGCTTAGCATAAACAGCAGCTTGAGTCAGTAGGCCCACAGTACATGTCAATGCCTTACAGACCAGCTCATTTAAAACGTTGTCCTTTTAAACAGTGTACCTTTGTTTTGGGGTTGTGTGGCAGGGTTTTGGTAGTGGGACAGGGGGCTATAGGGGTGGCTTCTGTGAGAAGCTGCTGGAAGCTTCCCCGGCTCTAAGTTGGACCTCCCTCTGCCAAGGCTGAGCCCATCAGTGACGCTGGTAGTGCCTCTGGGAGAATGTATTTAAGGGAAACCTGCAGTGAGCAGTGGGATTGGAATGTGAGAGGAACACTACTGCAGACAGCGAGGTCAGTAAAGGAGGAGGGGATGAGGAGCGGGGGAGGAGGGGATGCCCCTGCAGCCCATGGTGAGATGGCAGGCTGTCCCCCCCCAGCCCATGGAGGAGAGCGGGGGAGCGGAGGCCACCCAAAACGGCCGGGACTCCGTGGCTGAGGCAGTCTGTGCCTGAAGGACTGCAGCCCATGCAAAGGACCCACACTGGAGCAGTTCGTCAAGAACTGCAGCCCACGGGAAGGACTCATGCTGGAGAAGTTCATGGAGGACTGTCTCCCATGGGAGGGACCCCACACTGGAGCAGGGGAAGAGTGAGGAGTCCTCCCCCTGAGGAGGAAGGAGCGGCAGAGACAACGTGTGATGAACTGACCGCAACCCCCATTCTCTGTCCCCCTTTCAATGTAAAGGTTAGTTCTAGAAGTTTGGAACTGTAACATCAAGATCTTTTGCCATCAATAACAACAGCTACGCTACAAATGGCTAAAGAGCAGTTATGTGTGGAAGTAGAACAGTACAACAGTTCAGTTAAGGAAAAGAGTTGTAGTGCACATTTTACCCAACACGCTACATTGCCCTTTGTGCATACAAAGTGGACTCAAGGATTTCCACTGTAAGAAAGAAATCACTTGGCAAACAAAACACTGTGTCAAGCTGCCCTTTTTTTCCCCTCATGGACTTGGACATTTTAAGAAAGAAGCTTTACAAGACATTACATAACTCTTTGTCTTTATTATTAAATGTGAAAGTCTGACTTGTTACATTGTCACATTGCTATTCAGAAATGCTTCAGTGATGAAGGAAGTCAATGCTGGGTCAACCTAAGTCCTCATTCTACAACATTCATTTACAAAGAAATTATAGTAGCTTTCAACACACCCAACACAACATTCCTTTCTTCAGAGAAAAGTCACATCATTCTTCCTCTAATGGGTAAGTTACTACATAAATTAGAAATTTTTTTTGGACAACACATCCCCAAATTTTTGTAAGATCAAAATGGTCTTCTACAGATGTTACAGAAGTCTTCACACATCATCATCATCTGATGTATCACTGCTGCTCGTCTCAGAATCCTCATTCTCCAGAGTGGTTTTGAAAATGCTGTTTTTCCAGGGGCTAAACTTAAAACCACAGATGATGCCATTTTTCAAAATGCCGTTTTTCCGAAGGCCATTTTTTTGTAACTGAAATGAGAAAACAAGATGTATTTAAGAGAAGGAAAAAGCTAAACACAACAATCTGTTGCATTTCAACATTCTCTACATCTTCATCTCTGGGCTACATTAGATCCACAGCACTACCTTTTCATATATACACACAAAGGAAAACTCCCCTGAGCACCTTCACTTCTGGGCCAGCCACCGGTATCCAAGCACCTCCAATAGTGCTAAGCTCCTGCAGTCAACGAGAGCTTACCCTCTTCTCACCCACTTCCTCAGACGTCTTGCCCCAGTGATCCCTCCTCCCACATGGTGTCTCCTGCGATGTAGTCCCTTTTTCCACAGTGCTGCAAACATCTGTGCTAAGAAGGGCAGGGTCTGCAATAAGGAAGGGGCCTAGAAGAGGAGAAGCAGCAGGGAGGAATGGGTATCCCAATCTGTCTACCTGATGCAGCTGGAAAGTCAAAAACACTGGAGAGAAAGGAAACAACTGATTCTACAACAAAAAAGGAATTACTGCATTTCCACACATAGTGCAAAAGCTGGGCAATAAGCCAAGCATTTAAGAGTTTAATATTCCATATCTCTAATTGTGGCTAGACTTACAGAAATATCAAGTGTTCAGATTTAACATTGCACAAGATTCTCCCTTCCAGCTCCTCCTCACTGACCCCATCAGGTATATACAAAATTCCTAATCAAAAAAAAAAACAAACAACAAAAAAAATCAAGTCTAGATTGCCTTTTCAGACTTTGTTACTAGTGAATTAAATGTCTCTCAATTTCCAGCAGAGAAAATTCAGATTTTGGAGAACCAAGGAAACTGCATGAAAACCTTGAAAGAAAATTCCCTTTCCTCAGGCCAAGTTGAGGAGCTGGTCCCAGCAACACTGAAACTACTCAGAAGCACTCCCTTACCCTTCCCTTGATATTCTGAAAAAAGGCCCTACCTACAATAAGCACTGGTCCCCTATTCTTTTAAAGCAACTATTCTTCCTAAAGCACAATACTGAAATGGTACTGAAACGGCAATACCCCTAATAATCAAAATTACTGCAGGTCCTTCTCAAAAGTAGGCATTTAGGGTAGCAAACTACAAGTTCATAATGGAACATTAACTTAGTGTTACCTGTTCACTAATGACTCTGAACTCCCTCATCTCATCCTCTGTTAGTGGAGCACATGTTTCATCATTTTCACAATCTTCCTGCCAGCCCATCTCCTTTAACAACCTTTAAATTAAAAAGGACAACATTAAGGAATTTGCTACTTACACTCAAGACATTTCAAGCTCTGCCTACATATATGTGTAAAGATCTGTAACAAATGGATTAATCAGTCCATAATCTTTTTTAAACAAACTCTTACGTAAAAGTAGGTTAAAAGCCTTACAAAAGATATATAAAGCATAGAAGTTGAGACGTTCTCAGGTCCTTCACAGATGACCCTGCTTTATCACTACCCGTGGCAAAAACGGTACCTTCATTTTAAGACAAGAAATCTGTGTCAGGTGGAAAAGTAAGAATGTATTTCCTTTGCATAACTGCTCTGGTGGAGCAGCAGTGTACCCCTTGAAAACGGTATGAAGAGACAAAGACTTACACTGCGGGAATCAGCAGGTTTTCCTGGATAACAGAGCAGCCATGAGGAATACTGGTGGTGCTCCTCCATGGGAACCAATTCAGGATGCAATGGCCTCATATAGTTTCTTTTTTCTAGCACACACTAATCTCAAAGCCAGGACAGGTTTCTTTGCAATTGAGTCTCACCCAACAGCAGATGCTGCTATTTCAGGACAGACAGACTACAACTAGGAGTGGGTTTTGAGATGAGGGGAGGAAAGGAAACAAAAGGCAGATTCCTCCTCATGACAAAGCTAGAGATATCCAAAGGTTCAATAATCAACGTGTTTTAGCTAGTGCCTGTCCTGGTTTCAGCTGGGATAGAGTTAACTGTCTTCCTAGTAGCTGGTACAGTGCTATGTTTTGAGTTCAGTATGAGAAGAATGTTGATAACACTGATGTTTTCAGTTGTTGCTCAGTAGTGTTTAGACTAGAGTCAAGGATTTTTCAGCTTCTCATGCCCAGCCAGCGAGAAAGCTGGAGGGGCACAAGAAGTTGGCACAGGACACAGCCAGGGCACCTGAACCAAACTGGCCAACGGGGTATTCCATACCATGGGACATCCCATCTAGTTTAGGAACTGTGAAGTGGGAGCAGGGAATCACCACTCAGGGACTAGCTGCGTGTTGGTCGGCAGGTGGTGAGCAATTGCACTGCGCATCATTTGTACATTCCAATCTTTTTATTACTGCTGTTGTCATTTTATTAGTGTTATCGTTATCATTATTAGTTTCTTCTTTTCTGTTCTATTAAACCGTTCTTATCTCAACGCACGAGTTTTACTTCTTTTTTCCCGATTTTCTCCCCCATCCCACTGGATGGGGGGGGGGGGGGGGGGGGGGGGGGCGGGGGGGGG